CATTAATTTAAATCTGATATAAGTGCTATGCTCGCAGTTTTGCCCATAGTTTGCCCAAACTGGAGAACATCATCTTTTGATGACAGAATATCTGTAAATCTAAGTCCATCTCTTTTCCCTCAGGTTCAGTTCCCTCTTCTAGAACAAATATTCTTAAAATCTGATCAGTGTACATTGGAATCACTTGAAGAGCTTGTTAAAGCATGTAGATTTCCAGGACCCTCTGTGTGGGACTTGAATTCACCTGGCTCAGGAAGCCACTTTCTAATTAGCACTATACTAAAGCAGACTTAGGCTACACTTTGAGAAACATTGGTCTAGAAACATGGGGTCAATTACAGTTCCTCTGCCTTTGGTTCAAGAGAGCCTGCATTCCAATAATCCTGTTCCCGAAAATCCTATCTCTGTCCAAGTTTATAGATAAGTCATATTTCCTCACTGAATTATCTGATAATTTTGTTATCTCCATTTATCATGAATTCCAATACATAGTGAAGCATAAATTTCGAGTTTCTTTTTAGTAGTGCTTTTCTTCAAGCCATGATGGCTTCTAAAGATAAGAAGTTGGTTTGTCTACTCTGTATATGTCTGTTTCAATTTAATATGTTTATTGGACTCCTTTATAAGAGTTGTTATCAAATATTAGTTGGTCTCAAAATCATGTGGGGCGAAAAGGGAAAATGATTATTAAAATAAAGATTCACAGGCTTCATGGCTGAAGTCCTGCCTCAAGTCTAGGAATCTGCATTTCAACAAGTTATGTGATTCAGGTACAATTAGTTACTTGGTCAGGCTTGGAGCCATCCAACTGTGAAACATTCTTCTAAATCTTTTCCTTAAAACTAAAAATCATGTATATTTGTGAATTGTCTAGATTTTGACTATTTGATGCAAATAAAGAGTCTCTAAACTATTTCAGACCTCAAAGAATTCAGCCCTTTCACTTTTTAGATGAGGAGCCTGAGGCTCAGAGAGGTGACATGGCTTGTCCAAAACCATGGCTGGACTCAAACCCAGATGGGACTCTCAGTCAGCCATAATCCGATGGTCTCCCAGGAAACTAGACCTCATACTTCATTGGCCTGGTGTTCATGCACTTGCATCCTAAGCAGCAGATGCTTCTGAGACTGGTGGGTGGAGGGGCAGAACCAGTAGCCTCCCTATATGCTCTGCACGTTCCCAGTCAAGGACAGCTGGACCAGGGTGTTGGGGACAGCACAAAGGGGATGTTCCGAAATTCACCAACTCTGATGAGGCCATCGCCCTCCACCTTGCCAAGAGTTGGAAATTTCTAGAGATATTGTAGGTGGTGAAGGAGGACAATGACTATTTTTTTAAAGCTGGATGTTAGGTACATGGCTCATTTTATTATTCTTCACTCTTAAACAGCAATACATTCCATAATGAAAAACGTTTAAAAGGAAAGAAAGAGTGTGAGAGAAGGAAAAGCCCTTGAAGTGTGACAAAAAAGACTAATTTTGCATTGGAATGATGGGATCGAGAGATCAGCACAGAGGACTTGTCAGATTTGGTGTAGTTTTGTGGGTGGCTTTTCTATTTTGTGAGAGTTGGGGTCATATCTCACATCATACAACAAGAAAAATTTCAAACATTAAAAAGACAACCAAAGTAGAAAAAAAATGAGGGAATTATTTTGTAACCTTAGAAGGGAAATTTTGACATTATGACTCAAAATCCAAAATGTATAAAAATGATTAGTATATTTGACAACAAAAAAATTAAAATCTGCATGGAGAAAACATCATCAGCAAATTCAAAAGGCAAACAAACAAAAAGCTAGGGAAAACTTTTGTAATCACATCACAAATAAAAGTTTCACCCCTCTAATAAATTAATCAGACAAAAGACCAACTTAGCAATAGAAAACATAATAAAGTCCTCAAAAAAGAAATTATGGATAACTGTAATATATGAAAATATGTTCAAAATTTACTGATAATAAAAGGTGCAAGTTAAAATACTTGTCAGAACATTTGTTTACCTCAGCAAAATCTGAGGAGGTGGTTTACACACTGTATTGCCAAAGACCTAGAGGAAATGGACTCTCTCATAAATTGATATAGCAAATATGAAGTTCCTTTGGAGGGAATTTGTCATTATCTGTCAAAATGACAATTACCTATCGTCTTTGTCTCCTTTTCCAGGATATTTTATTTCACACTGCATGATACATGTGTGCAAAGATATTCATTGCAGCACTGTTTGGAGTAGCAAAAGGCTGGAAGCAATCTAAATGTCCATTGATAGGCACTGACTAATACAGCATGGCACATTTACACAGTGGAAGATCATGGATGGATGCAGAAAGATCTGGAAGAACATGCTGGGCCAGCTAGAGAGGAATACCATTATTGTGGGAGGAGAGTGCTGGGCAGGCAAGGAACTATGTGGAAGACATCACTGTTCATCTTTTAACGTACTTTTTGATTTTAGAATCATATATATGTATTATCTAGTCAAAATTTAATTTACTTAAGTAACCAGGAGCCTGTTAATATGTGTGGTTTCCCCTAACACTAAGCCCACCAAAACTGAATATCTAGGATCAAGCATTGCTATGCGTTCACCCCTAAGGGTTGTACTAAATTATTTCTTAAAGAAAGACTCAAACCCCATTAGCTCCAGTTTCTGAGTTTAATGTAACATTGCGAAGCATCCCCCAAGTGAGAGATTGAGTATAGAGTGAACCGCCATCTGCCCAAGTCTTCTAAGATAGATGTCATAATTATGATGAGGCTTCTAGAAAACAATTTGTAAAATTTAGCGACAGGAATGGTTTCCATTTCTCTAATCCTTTTGGAGGGATACTCCATATATATATATATATATATATATATATATATATATATATATATATATATATATATATAGGAAATAATTGAAAGGGAAAAAAATAATCCACTTTGAGCTGTGGGTGATGAGTGGATGCAGAGGGAGGTAGCCGTCCTTCAACCACTGTTTCCAACCACTGTCATCCCCATTGCATTGATGGTCTGTCCAAAGCAACAATACAGATATTGATTAAAATACCAAATGGAAACAAATGAAAACCCTATACCCATGGCTAAGGTGGAAAGTCAGAAAAAATCTGTCTTTTCTGGTATTTACTCAAGTTAAATATATACACAGCCTATAACCAAGTATTTCCAATCTTAGGTTCACACCAAGAAGAATACACTCACTTTTGGATCAAAACACATGTGTGAGAATGTCCTCAGAAGCACTACCCCTAACACCCCAGAACACTGCCATTACCCAAGTGTTCATCAAGATCAGAAGAGACAGATAATCTGTGGCATTTTCCAACCATGAAATTCTCTACCACGATGGGGATGACAGGACTGGAATTACATGCAATAATCTCACACACAGAATGTTGAGCCTAAGAAGACAAACAAAAAAAGAGAACAAGTGGTGCTTTATTTATATGTTGAAATAACAACAAAAAGAGAATCATTGGCTTAAGGAAGTGAGGCTGGTTGGTGGAAGAGGGTGTGGAGGATGTTCCTGGGGATGAGTGACCGGGAGGAGCAGTTCATACAAAGCCATCAAGCCACAAGCCTTAATATTTGTAATCTTTGCATTTTTGTTATGCTTTAATTTAAAAGTTAAAAAATTATTCCAGGCCAGAACGAGCAGTGTATGAATTCATTTTGGATGTCATGGGCTTAACCTCTGAATAAGTGTCCTCCTAGGCCCTGCTGTGATACCAAAGAGATTCCAACAGAGCCAGAAAGGATAAGGTGCTCTCAGCCATAATTCCCGAGGGATTGTGCAGAGTCCAGCTTGGCTTGTTTACAGGGGTCCCTCGCTCTCCAGCCAATCAAAGCAAGCAGCAAGGCCTCTGCAACCAGCCTGTGGAATAGCCAGCTCAGAAGAGGTTATTTCCTGAGCATCAGAGCACACCTGCAGGCATGTCTCAAGCTGTGGTTTCCCCAGTGACTGAAATCCCCATGGAAGTTAGTATTCTGGATAATCAAAACCTCTCTCGTTAAACAACTCCGTTGTTAAAAGTGAAATCATCTATAATAGAATCCTTTCTACATAGTATCTCACACATTCCTGACTTTTTGCAGATCCATAGAATAGAATTTAACTTATGCAACAAGCCATGACACTAATAATTAGGTCATCATTTGGGGACTTTCCATCAAGTTTTCTCTCTCAGTTCTCACAAAATCTTTATGAAATTGGTCCTATTTTTCCCATTTTATGTGTGAGGCTTAGGATGATTAAATAACCGTCCCAGGTCACATTACAAATACAGTGAGGAAGAGAATACGGTCTCTCAAATCGTCAGGACCAGTTCATTGCGTTTTCCCCACAGATTTACTGATGACTGATGGACTGCACGCTACCCTGCACAGCACCGACAGGTAGACAGGAATACTAGCTGCACCTTTAGAGAGGTGGTTTGAGTTCTCATTGTTTCCCTCTCTTTCTCCTTCAGTTTGTTTCTCCTCCAGCACCGGGGATTGATCCCAGGGTTTCACAAAAAGGGCTAGGCAAGCGCTCTACCAGTGAGCTGAATACTCAGCCTCCTTCATCAGTATTACATTATTTGCTTCCCATAAAACTATTTCCAGTATGCTACATCCCCTAAAAAAGTTCCTACCTAAAATCTGATCTTTAAAAATCTTTGTTTCTCCTTCTTTAAGTTCTCACTTCTTAGGTCTTTCTATTTGGCTAAACTCTCCCATGAAGTTGGGCCAACTTATTTAGCAGTTTAAGAAACCCCTCTGGTTCTCCTCATTTCCAAGTGTCATGGGTTTGCCTTTTCTTAACGCAGCTCAGGAGGATGCCTGTGATGCTCCTCAGAGTAACAAAAACAGCCCTCCATTGGGGTCCATCTGGCCTGCAGCTGCTCTCCAGAAAGATACAACAGCAGCGAAGATAAGCACCAAGCCACGCAGAGAGTCAATTTTGACAAGGTTTATCAGCTGGCAGGACTGCAGAGGAAAAAGAGCTACTGTCCTTACCCTGATTTCAAGCTGACCAATGCGTCCTCCACTCCCTTCTGATTAAATTTGGTCATGTATTGATGCATGTAGGGGTAGTTATTCCGAATGTTCCTCTCTGTGCTTCCGTTAGGTACCGTCCCAAAGCGAAAAGGCGGGGAATAGTCATGAGGTCTCTGAAACTGAAGAGAGAGAAAAAAGACAAGAGAAGAGGGGAAGTAGGAGGAGACAGGAGGAGGGAAAGAGGAAGAAGAAATTAGCTATGATTTTGTTTCTTGTCAGGAGTTAAACATGTTCATTCACACAGGACAATTAAATAAACATCTATTTTTGTTCTTTCTTTGAACTTAATCACATTGTCCATTGGTCCCTGAGTTGCAGTAGATTGGGAACAGTGTGTGTATTTTTGGAGCTGTCCCTCAGTTCCTAGCACAGGACTTAGCTGTATGCTCAGTAGACATTTGTTGGGGTGAATTTTCAAATGCTATCAGAGAGACAAGCACACAATCGTGCTAAGGAAATGTTAAGCTGGAATTGAGACACGACTTTAGCCCAGTTCATTTATCTGCTTCATGAAGAAGTTTCCTGTGATCCCCACAAACCACCCCTTTCTCTTAACACCATTTACAATTACCTTTGCACCCACCAGAAAATGACTCTATGTGGCCATTCACCCGTCCTCCACTCACTGGCTCATTCATTCAGTTCCACAAGCAATATTCATCAGGCATAGTGCCCCAGCAGGCTCTGTGACTATTTGCAAAGTCAAAGTCCCTACCAACCTATTAGCTTCCTGGCAATGTCCAAGTCTTGCTCTGCTCTTGAACCTTCATAAAGCATGTTGTTCATGCTCCTTGAGTCTTCCCTGACCAATAGTGTCTGTATCATCCCTGAGGAGAACTAGGGTGCTTAGCACCATGTCCCTAAAACATCTCTTTGGTGCTCCCAAGACACCTGCCTAGTCCAGGGAGCATTGTAAGGGTGTCACTGGATGCGGTCCAAGGAGGTCCCCCAAGAGGAAATGCGGACCTTAACTCATCCCATCTGTGGGGTAGGTTGTAGGTTCACTGAGTTATGCACCAGAAAAAAATTTCAGGGCACATCAGTGAGAGGCATTAGAAAGGTTCAGCAGGTAAAAATATACACACGGAGAGAGAATCAAGTGCAGGCCCTCAAGAGAGAAGCACATTATGATCTGGGAATGGGGCCTTTTACGTGGTCTTGAGGGTGTCCTCAAGATGGGTGACCTAGGATATGTATTCTTACTATATGTCAGACGACCCACTTGGTGCTACGTTAAAATGCAAGCTATTTGCATGTTTTTGGAATTTAGAGATCTCCTGTCAACTTAATACCCATGCTACTTCCTTAGGATGGATGTCTGTGAGAAGCAGAATCATTTACAGGTGAAAATCATGGGCTCCAATGTGCAGGCTTATTGTGTCTTTAAGACCCCTAGGAATTTTTTTAGTGAGTTTCCTAGAAGGGAAAAAGGGCATTATAAATTTGGTAACTTTTATGCCCTGAAACAGCAGCTTTTCTTAAAAGCACAATTTTAAAGTTACAACTTTCGCTGTCTCCTTACTACTTATCTCCATTTCTTCCATCCTACCTCAAGGGGACAGGAATGAGATCACTGGGATAAGTATTATCCGAGGGACACTGGGAACTGGACAAACCAGTGTTATCTGTAGAATCTGCCTTCCTGCTTGTATGCTGGGTCAGTTGCTCCTTGGAATGCAGGTTATACAATGGAATGAAGCAAGCTACTGGTGTCACTGCTTATGCAGCCCAATCTACTCACCTCCCTGCAATAACCAGGTATGGATCAGGGCAGTGTGGAGCCTTATAGCCCAGCCAGTTGCCACTGTATACTCTGAGTACTTCTCAAGCAATTTTCCTTGCTGGCCTGCCGCTCTAGTCCAGCCCCTGCCACTAGACATCCCAAGTAGCTCCTGGCAACTTCCTGTCCAGGCCACTGCCACGGGACCCCATCCTTTTTTGCCACCAAGTCTCAAATTATCCCATCTCCCACAAGCCATCTCTTAGCAAAGCACACCTCAGCCCTGGCACAGCTGGGCTGTGGGCAAGACACTGTCCATTCTCAACTTTGATCTTCAGGGACTAAACCTGGTTAGAAGTCAAGAGAACTGAACCTGAGTCCCAGAAATACAAACCTAGAGACAGCACTGGAGGGGCTGAGTGTGTGCTCAGGCCTCCTGGCTGGAAAGTCAAACTATCACTTATAAACTCTGCAACCTTAGACAAGTCACTTTACTTCCTGCTGCCTCTATTTTCCACCTGTAGAATGGGCCTCTTCAAAGTATTTCCCTTATAGGATCGCTGTGAAGAAAAAACCACATTTATGAAGTAACTGGAATAGTTCCTGGAACTGAACAAGAGGTCAAAAATAAAGCTTTTATCACTTTTTTTCTATGATTGTTGCAGGAAAAAAATAACAGGCTGCATTTTTCTGTGAAATATGGAATCATGGAACTAGAAATTAGTGGTAATAATGACTGGAACTTTTTGAAGTTGGAGCTAACACTGTGCCAACAGCCCTGCTAGGTAGCTGATCTTAGAAACACCATTTTACAGATGAGGAAACTGAGGCTCCAAGAAGTTACACAACCTATTAACAAATAGTGACCCAAAATTCAAACCTAGACATGCTTTAGACATGTGCTAAGGTCTTAACTCTGTCATTCATCAGAAACCATTGCTAATGACTCCTTCCTTGGTTAGAGACGGGGACTTGGAGACCCAGACAGGAAAACAATACCCACCAAGTTGGTGTCAGAGCCAGGACTATGATGCAAATGTCTCTCCAACTTCCAATCCACCTTCCACACCAAGAATCCACCTTCCTCACCGACTTCCAATCCATCTTCCACAGAACCAAGAACCATAAGAGAAGGTGTCCATGTTTGCCCAAGATTTGGACCAACCAGAAACATTCCTCTTTCTCTACACTCACACTTCATTTCACTGTTAATTAAAATTTCCAGTTGAAAACTGTTTTCCTTGCATTAGCCATGCTGCTGCCTAAGAAGCAGCCATACTGGATTTGGATTTAGGAGAAGTAGCCAGCCATTGTCCAAATGAGATTCTCCTTCTGGAACACACTTGGCATTGAGTGTGTGTGTGTGTGTGCACACGTGTGTGCTTGTGTACAGACCTCAGGATTGTGATGTCCTCACTCATCATCCAACTTGAAGACACAAGCCTAGGCTTGTTTCTGGCCACCACCTGCTTCGGGGAACGGTGGTAATAACACTCTTTGTAAATCTCACGCTGCAGCAGCCGCTGCTGGTCTCCACAACACCCAGAGACGGACTATTTGACAAAGTGTCTCCCACTTCACTCCCCATCTGTTCCTGAGGAGCGATGCAGCTCTAAGATTTGCTTCCTTCCTTCCCTCTGATTTGCACAGTGATAGGGACAGACGCTCAGTCCCACACTTCTCTGGCATTGCCATAGCATCCTGTACACAATAGTCAGTCCAGGGTCAACATCCAGAACCTTTCCTACTAGAACTAAGATTGTCAAATTTTTTTTAAGACAGGGTCTCACTATGTAGGTCAGGCTGACCTCGAATTCACTATGTAGCCCAGGCTGGCCTTGAACTCGCAGCAATCCTTCTGCCCCAACCTCCAGAGTGCTGGGATTACAGGCGTGAGCCACCACACCTGGCCAGACTGCCAAACTTTTGAAAGCATCACTCCCAATACACTTCCCCTTACCACCCTGTACACACACACACACACACACACACACACACAATCTCACAGGACTCTCTTTCTATATGTGATGTACTCTGATGCTATCTCTTATGTTCTATTTTTTTTCATGGTCACAAACCTCAAATTAATGTCAAGGTTCACTGAAAAGCATGACCTACATTGTGCAAAGCTAGGAGCAAGGATGGCTCATGTCTGATGTTGACCTCCAGCACAACTTTCTCCCAGAGCACGGCATGTACAAGCAGAAAGGAAGACACGTGGGCTTCAGCAAACGGAGGGACAGTGCCCAGGTTCCCACTGTCAGCAGGGCACAGAGTAACATCATCACAGGACGCAGAGTCCAGAGATCTTCTCTCGGCTTCTCTCAAGGATGCCCTCACTGGGTCTTGGGCTTAGGGGAGTCACAGTCAGCTTCTCATCTTCCACTTAGGAAGTGCATAATTTGGGGTAGCCCATTAAGCTCTCTGAGCATCAGTTTCTAGATCTGTAAACTTGGATTTACTTTTACAATTGTATAGTTCTTGGAAAAACACCTAAAATCCTCAACTCCTTCGTATGCATCACATGACATATTACATTTTAATCGCACATATATCACTCTTGGAAACCTGTCACCACCCAGAGTAGCTGTAGCCACATAACAGACCCAGTATCCCTCCAGTTTGCAGAATACAGGACCACTTTCGGAAAAATGTTTCCCTTCAATGTGGAGACAAGTCCGGAGGTCATCCAAGAGAACAAAATATGGCAAACATTTATAGTGGAGAGATAGAAAGGTAGGGCTAGGAAATAAATTTTTAAGGAAATACAGCAATTAGGAAATTTCTTTATTCTTATAATGAATCGAAAGTTACACATTTAGTAAAGCTATCTGTTTTCTGTATCTGTAAAAAAGGGACATCTGGCAAACGGAGCACTTATTTCTAGCACAGTCTTTGGTGGGCAAAGTGCTACATGCTTAAAGTGAGCATCAAACAGGTGTGGCCATCAGCAGAGCACAGTTGCTCCCTTCCCGGGCCAGGACCTCTCAGCAGTGCAGTCACAATGCACAGAGGCAGAATGACTCCTTGAGAACACAAATGTGGGTTCATTTGCTAAGGGAAGTCATCTAAATTTCTTCCACAGGCTGCTGCGAAAGACCAGCTCAGTGCACTAGCATTCTGGGCCCTAAAAGTGAGGAATGGTTTGAATCAGGAAGTAATGATGACCATTAAATAAAAGGAAGGAGAAGAGCATGAGACAGAGAGGAATGAGAAGAGGAAGTGGAAAGGAAGAAATAACACTTGTAACAGGATCATCTATGGGATTATTTCTAATCCTCAAATTTACCCCGCCAGAAAGGTGCTGCTATTGTCCCTTCATAGGGAAGTTAGGCCTTGGGGATACTCATGTATTCAAAGATACATAACCATTACATGGCAAGATCAGGATTTGAGTCAGGTCCATTTGACCCCAACTATGATATTGTCCCCCTGCCATTACCTGAATCTCCCTTCCAGAGATGAGTTTTCTATATCATAGTGATTCCCAGCATGTTGGAAAAGGTCCCATCAATGTCTCCACTTGCCTTTAATAATTCCCAGGAAAGCACGTCCCGTGAACTCACTAATAACGTAAGCCCACACTTATCTAAGCACACCATGGACTCCAAATATACTTCATTCACAGCAAGCACTAAAGGTTTGAAAGTCTTGTAAACCCTGATTATTGTATAGTCATTTATGATTTAAAAACAAAGCAATCACCGCTGTGTACAGTATTAAAATAAATTGATTCAATACAAATTTGTATTTCGCAAACTTTCTTGTTGTGTCTACCACTTATCTTCTAGGAGCAGTTAGCCTATTTGCTCTAAGAAGTTTGCTGTTTATCTAGTTGTAACTAATATTTAATTAAGAGAGCTACTGGCTTGTCTTTAATCCTCCAACCATGGAAACTAAGCTATGTCCCCTGATGATATAGTATCTGCTATTGGGGGTTTCCAAATCAGAGAAGGTCAGTCAAATTATTGGTGCATTTAATTAGTTTTCCCACAAGTCGTCTTATTATGTAGACCTAGAACTACAAAATGAGAAATTCTTTTTTTCCTTTGCTTTTGAAAATAGCAACAAAGAACAAACCACGCTGCCAACTACTTTCTTGACAAATTTTCTCCTTCAGGACTTGGCTTCCCCTTCTTCTACAGAACTTTCAGTCCCTTGTAGGAATTCCTTCTTTTGATCCCAAAACATAATGAAGTTACATAACAATGCTTTGTATCTGCACAGGATTTTACTGGGTAGAAGGCACATTGGCATATGCGGTTTCCTTGGATCATTTCTGTAACTTTGTCTCCCTAATTGACAGAGAAGAATAAGCAGGCCCAGTGAGGTGACAGGAAGCAGCTAGTTGTGGAAGAGAGGAAACAAGAATCCAACTTTTCTGACTCTAAATGCAGCACTTTGGTGCCTCCTAGATGCCTTGTGCTTTAGGTGGATCTCTGCCAAAAGCCAACCCTGAGCCAAAGAAATGGGTAAACTCGATTAGTTAATGACAAATTCCAGGAGAAACCAATAAGAGAGTAGGGGTGAGGTTAGAAAGGACTAGAGAAAAGCCAGTCACAGTCTGATAAGAGCCAATTCTCAGTCTCTGCCTGATCCTGCTGCAGGAACTTCTGGAGGGTCAACTGTGCCTCAGTGTTTGTCTTGCTTTAAAAGCAAGAGAGAAGCTGGGCTTTTGTATTCAACACACTGGTTATAGGTGACGGCAAGGACAGGCAGAACTTAAATCCAAGGCATTGACCATTTCAGTGTCCAAAGATAATAACCCTCTGAGGATTCCTGGTATGAGTCTACAGCAAAATGTGTAGTTGGGGCTGAGCACAGAAGGCTAGAAAAGGGATTCCAGGAGACCCAAGTGGGGGTGTTCAGTGTGCAACACACTGTGTATTTATTCACTCAACCAATAAGTAGGTACTGAGCATCACCTAAGGGTCAGTGAAATCTATGAAAAGTAAATACATTTTCATTCTTGTTGATATTATTAATCTTATCTGGGGAAAGGGGATTTAGAGGAGAGGGAAGGAGGTGGGGGAAGGCGAAAGGGACTAAAAAGAAGAACCAAGCTGTATTATGTTCATGTACCCAAGACGATTTTAAAGTGCACGTACTAAAAATATGTACTAATAAAAAATAAATAAATTTGAATAAAAAGATAGTGCATGTAAAGCACTCAGTATAGTGACAGGCTGGTGGAAGCTAAGCCCTTAACATTAAAAGAAAAAAAGAAAAATATGTACATAGTTTGATAAAAATATATGGTAAATGTTTAAAGTTTAAAGTTTATTATAGTAAAGACATATTGCTATTAATTCCCCTCAAATACTCCTCTTCACTTGGAACACACTTATCCCATCGTTCTTGCCACTTTCTGAAGCAGTTCTGGAAGCCCTCTTTCATGTCTTTACAAGACATTAGAAATATGATGAATGTGCTGCTGAGTGCCATCCAACAGAAAGGCAGGCTGGTAAAAGCACTGTGGTGTATATTTATCCACTTTATTCACCAGATCTGGCAACGTGATTTCTGGCTCTTCCTCAAGGTCAAAGTGGTCAAGGTAAACATTTTGAATCAATTCAGGATACTGAAGCAACTACAAAAACACAGCTAAAAACACTCACAAAATAAGACTCCCAGAACTACTTCAGAAAGTTGCTAGGAGGATAGGATAAATGTGTTTAAAGTGGTGTGTGTGTCTGTGTGTGTGTGTGTGCCCGCGTGCATGCATGTGTGTGTAGCGTGCTGAGAGGGATTAACAGCAATGTGTCTTTTAGTCTAATTCTTTAAAAATTTGAACATTCTCTGCTTTAACAATCATACCTCATACCTGAAGTCCTCTCCCCCATTCCAGTTTTTATCACCTCAGTCTTACTTCCTTTCTGACATTTATTCTTGTCTGACATTTTCTCCTTTTCTGATATTTGAAAGTCTATTATTTATTTCTTCCCACTAAGCTTTAAGTTTGTCGGGAGCTTGAGCTCAGTCTGCCAAGTTCACCCCCAGTAGCCAGGAAAGACCTCTCTGAGGGGGTAATATTTTCCCCAATACCTGGAATTCAAGGAGGAGCCAACTGTCAGAAGACTGTAAGCAAAACATTTAGGCAGAGAATACAGCACAAGAGTACTGAAGTAGAAATGAACTTGGAGCATTAGGGAAGGGTGAGGGAGCTTTGGTGAGCAAGAGGAAGGGAGGAATTGGATAAGAAAGGGCTTTGTGTGCCACAGTAAGCAGAGGGGCACCTACCCCAGGACAGGTGGGAAGCCCCCCAGAGAGGCCCACCACTCACATGGCGCCTTTGTGATGGGGACTCCATTTTCAATCCCAACCTCTCCTCCTCTCTCCCGACGGGCCTCTTTGTACCTCTTTCACACAGTGTATGCCATTGGGAAGCTGTAAAGGCTTTTCATGGGCTGATTTTCTATTCAGCAGTTTGTTGATGAATGCCAAAAGGGTATATGCAGACTTATGTCAACAAGATAGGACAAGGAGGTTTTATAAAGATACAAATTATCCTCACACAGAGGAAAGAGAAAAATCTCTGCCGTGCTGCAGTCTCAGCAGTGCTGAGCTCAGCGAGTCAGAATTTGTTTCCCGAACTAGAATTTCAATAGGAGAATGCACCCAGTTTACCTCTTTTTTCCCTTTATGTGCATTTCTGAATAGTCACTCAAACCCCTCACTAGGATTTGGTAGAGAATGAGGAGAGCAGGTGTTATCCATCTATCTTCCTGGGGGGAAATGGGTCTAAGAAAAAGGGATGGGGAAATGAGAAACGTCTCTGCATCCTTTCAGTCCCTTGCCGAAATTTCAGCAGAGATGGAGGCGGGAAGAAGGGGCCTGCTTGGCAGCTCAGGGAGGAGCAGCCACTCAGTAACTCTGTCTCTGGGGAGCGTGCAGAGAGGACTTTCGTCCATGTAGGACATGAAGTATATAAGAGCTCATGAGAACTGGGAGAGCCCATGGCCACCAGTGCCCCTGCACCCCAATTGTCTCCTTGTGTGGACCCCAGTCCTTCTCAGCCTCACACTCTGCTGGGAGGTGTGAGCTACAGTGAGTCATAGAGCCTCAGTCGCAGCATGCTCAGAGAGATGGTATAAATGTGAGAAATGACCACGTGGGGGAAATTATCCTTCCAAATTAGATGCAGAATCTTGAAGACTTGGGAGAGCAAAGCTTAAGTTCTGTTCCTAACTTTATTTAGAAATATTCTGATCTGAATTAAGAAAAGAATCTTCTGGCTTTGAGCTTTAGAGCTGAGGATGGGTAGGGAAGACAGGCACCTGAATCACTTGTTCTCTGAAGACCTCCAGCCCGAAAAGAATGTGCGATGACCTTACCTTTTTGTCACTGAGGCCAGTCACTTGGTCCACAAACTCCTCCTGGATCATGAAAGCAGCCAGATTGGCCGTGTAGCTGGCCAGGAAAATGACGGCAAAGAAGGCCCACACAGACACCATGATCTTGCTGGTTGTACCTTTAGGGTTCTGGACAGGCACGGAGTTGTTGAACACCAGGCCCCAGAGGAGCCATATAGCTTTCCCGATTGTGAAAGAAGGCCCGTGCGGTGCTGCAGACAACAAAAAAGGACGCTGTCAGCATTTTCTCAAAGTGGACACGTGTGTGTGTGTGTGCAAAACCTATGTCATGGCCACCCGCAGCAATGCAGGTTGCCAGAAGCCAGAATTGTGCCCTAGCATCATCCTGGAATCACAGTCACAGTTAACTTCTCTTTTCTTTAAAATTAGCATTCTTCCCACATCTCTATATAACTGCATTTTGCCATCTTTCTTTAAAAAAAAAAGAAAGAAAATGGTTATGCAAACTGGGGGTTTGAATGAGAAGCAGTGTTACGACCTGTTTTAAATTTGGATTTGATTTCCATTTGGGGGAACCAGTCACCTTAATAAATGTAAAGAAAAGCTGACAAAAATGCAGGGTAGGGGGAGCTTGCTGCTTGGGTATTCATAGGATGTGCTATCAGAGAAGAGCCGTGCAATTTATCTGGACTGATGTTTGGTATTCAAATTCAATTGTTTCTAACAATTGCTCCTGTTCAAATTCACAGTAAAGTGTGCACAATATAGGAATTAGACCAATGAAAATTCTCTGCAAATGGAGACATTAAGGAGAAGAACAATAGAGCTTAATTCTTCCAGCACTTCTCAGATGGAAGACATTTCACTGCAGGGTCATAGAAAATGAACTCTGATATCACAACTCTTTTTCCTCCTCTGTGTATCCTTACAACAGCTATGTGTCCTTTTTCAGATTCTTAAATGTTCCTCACAACAGACTCAACTAAAGAGGCAAAGCAATATATGAAAATTTATTGGGATGGGGCATATGCAGGCTGTAAAACACTCCTCCCATTAAGGTTTTCAAGCCTTTGCTTTGCACGAGGAAAAAAATCAATTCATGCCCTCCTTTCAAGAGGGGGGAAAAAGGTCTTCTTTTAACAGGAGGTTAATTTTTATGTCACTTAAGTAAATGAAGATATGAAAAAATGATCTACTGAGACTTCAGTTGGCCATGCAAGCAAACTGGGCAATAAATAAGTGGCAGAAGTGAATTCAGATTGATGGAAATGATGAAATTCTGGGCATGGAGCCAAAGAAAAACAAGCTTTCTGCACACTAGAAGCTGAGCTCAGGCTCCCTTATAATGGCCATAATACAATGCAGTAAAGAGAAGGCAAGTAATTCTGTTCTCAAACTCGCCTGTTTCCTTTTTGTCTACTTTTATGATCTTCTGGGCTTATTCCCAAGAGGCTGGGTACTCTTAGAAAAAAATAACTGAAATCAATCCAGTTAACTTCAGAAACTACTTACTTTTATTAGAAATGCATGTTGATCAGAAGTGGCAGCTATGTGGGGATCAGAAATAGGTAGTTGCAAGAGATCTTCTCCAGCACTGCTGGGAGCTCCTGAATAGTGAATACTATTACTGGGCCATATAACTTTCCCCATAAAGCACAACAAAAGGTAACGTATGATATTCTGCCCAAAGAAATAAGGAACTATCATTTCCTGAGAGTCGTCACATGCACTTGAGTGGGAGACAGGAAACCTCAATGTGGTGAGAGTGCTGGGGAGTTTGCCTGCTGAATTTCTTTCTTTACAATACTTGCCTTCTACATGCTTCTGCCCAGGGAGAAACTATAAGTGACAGTCTTTGCATCAGCTTTCCCCTCCTTGTTGCGCCTCACATGTGTCTGCTTAGCTCCATCTTCAATGCTCTCATAGGACACTGCCCTCAAGTCCAAAACACTGTCAACATTTTCCTTAGAAAACCATGAGACCTTCTTCACTGGCCTCCCTACTTCCACTGCTGCTGTCCCCTCCTGTTATCTTGGCATAGTATATAGTGACCTCTTCACATTTGTTATCCTGCTTCCCTCCCATGGTATTTTGAAGAAAATCTGACATGTTTGTTTACCATGTTCAACTGTCTGTCCATCTGATTTCACCTAATCCTGTTATCCATCTCACTCATTCACATCTCTGCTTCTTAAACACAGGTTCCACCTCCAGGCCTTTGTATTTGCTGTTCCTCCTTCAGGGAATGCTTTTCCTTCTCACCCTTCAAGTCTTAGCTTAATATCATTGCTTCTGAGCATCTTTCTCTATTTTACCCTGCTATCTAAAGTACCACCCACTCCATCACCACCAAATCACTGTTTTCTTCTATTTCTTCTTGAAATGTATTAAAAATCTGTGATTATTACTATATGTGTTTACATGCTTGGCATATAACACCCACTCAATAATTACTCCTCCAATACATGTGTGAATTCAGAATAGCTCAATCTCTGATCATACAAATTTAAAGTTCTATTTTACACCAATATGCTCACTCACAGGTCACTAACCAGTTCCACTCCAATGGAAATCCCTTTAAAGGTTAGTTACACCACCCTTTTAGTGAAGGCTAGAAATCTCCCACTTAAACACAACATGATTATTTATCACATTTTACTGTTTCAGTTGATTGTAGATGGTTTATGTAGTAATCACCACTCTTGAATAGTTAAGAAAAAGTGGGAGGATTTCAATACAACTAAATACCTAACAGATTCCACTGCCCTGCTGGCTATTTCCAATATTGAGTCTCCGAGTGAAAATAGTACGTATTGAACTAAAGTGGCCTGTTCGGAGGGGCATTAGAGACATCAGAATCTCCTATGCCCTACCATATCAAGCCATTTTTTCAGGACAGAGATCTGGCGCTTGCATCTTTATGATACCATCTACATAGAAAGTACTGTGCATCGAGAAAAATCTACTCAAATGATACAATGAGTTGAGCACTGGCTTGTGTGGGAGCCTCATAATGAGATACAAACCAGTAAACATCTCCCAATTCAATTTCTTATCTACTGATTGTCCCTTTATCAAGTACAGTGTCTGAGGGTCAGGCACCATCAATGTATATCAAAAGAGTACCAATAAAATTAATTTTAAAAAGAGAAATATATAACTCTTTGGGAGGAAATATTTTAAAATATTTATTGTCACTCTAAAGCAAATATGATTCAGTAGTTTGAAGAATGTTTTTATTTAATTAATTTATTTATTGGTACCAGGGATCAAACTCAGGACCTTACACTTGTGAGACAGGCAATGGCACCACTGAGCTAACGTTTTTAAGCTAGATTCTACAAGCTATTTTCTTTGCATAAGCTGAAATTGAGACTCACCGTGATATTAATTTTTTTTTTTTTTTTGGTCCTTGCACTTGCGCAGCAGGCGGCAAAACCACTGTGCTAAATCCCTGGCCCTATTAATATTTCTTTTGATAGGCATTTCAAAAATTAATTGCCAAAAATCTTCTTCAAATGTGCGTTCTCAAGAAATTATCAATGGTTTTTTCCCAACAACTATTGCTTTCACATTGTAAGAAGATTAAAATATTTGATTTTATTTTATCCTTTTCCCAGCTGAAGTAAATAAACCAAACTTATCTGCCATTACTGTTCTTATTAATGGTCTGGAAGCATTACTATGATGGTATACCAAGGCAAGACAGGGTAAGGGATTCTAAAACGGAAGTCATCATTGATGGTACAGGAAATAGCATCAACTTGGAATCGTGCTTATGTAGGCTTCCTTACCTTTCCCTTTGGCCAAGTTTCTGTTGTATCCAACAGGACTGAAGTATTCAAAGACAAAAACAGCTATGGCAGAGACAATGAGCAGCATTACAAACATCATCACCCAGACGGAGGCGCTGAAGGGTTCTGTAGGCAAACAGACCAGAGTAATAGAGACAAAATCCATTAACTCTTTCTCACCTCCAGCAAGAAGCCCATTTGCAGGCTCACCGAGACAATCTAATTCCAATCTGGTTATTCAAGAGACACTAGCCATTTTTCATTCTCACTCTTAAATCATTCTTTATTCTATAAAATATTTGAGGCCCCATATAAGACTGCATATATAATATGGTAAAAATAGATTAAAGTATATGACATTTTTACAAACCAGGTCAAGGATAAAAGAAACACAAAAGAATGATAAGACCAAAGGAGAAGTCAGAATGCAAATAAACAGGCCACAGAGTTGAAGATAATTATAGAACCATCTACTGAATCAAAGGGGAAGAGGAATGGTACCCGACTCAAGCAGTTCATCACAAGGCTTCTGCAAATAGGCATGGTTTCGATTTTTATTTTCATTTGCATTTTTACATACTGGTGGAATGATGTGTGGGCAGAGAGAATTATAATGTTTTAGAAAAGATAAATTGTGGGGTTCACAAGAGGTCATCATTTACACCCATGATTGTCTATCTGTCCTTCTGCTGTAGCCAGGTGAGAGCTCTATACTTGATAAATCATTCTAATCCTGGTTAAAGGGTTAAATGCAACTGAAATCATTGGAGGACATTATGTTCAGATGAAAATTCACTGAAAAGGCATCATTCAAAGAGGCGAAGCACTCTGGGAGGCTGAGGCAAGAGGATCACAAGTTTGAACCCAACCTGGCGAACTTAGAGACTTAGTGAGATCCTGACCCAAACTAAATAATAAAAAGGGCTGGGCTGTAGCTCAATGGAAAGGCCTTGGATTCAGTTCTCAGTAGCAAGGGGTGGAAGCAGAGACGTGGAGACAGTGAAGTGGTAGGTGGATTTGGATAGGTGGTAATTTCTCTCCTAAAGGTCACTTTTATCCATTCATTTCCATGTAATTTAGGCAATAGACAGATAGATATATTAGAAGAGCAGTTCTGAATCTTAAACAGTCTAGAAAGGTAAGAGGATACTATGTAAAATAAGTTAGCATTTCTATTCAGCCTGATTGAGGATATGAACATTCGTGGATTGAAGCCATTTTATGCACTTATAATATAGATTTACTAGAAAACCAACAGAGAGTAAAATTTTAAGAATGTTATACCTCCACCTGATTGCATTATTGGGAATATCAGTGAACGCAAAATTCTTTTCCTCAGAACCAAGCATTATCTGAAGGTAAAATATAATAAGTGCAATAATGCCTCTTGAATAATAAACATTTTCTTATTTTTCAATTGTTTTCTGATGAAGCTAGTAATAGTAATAAAGAACTAGATTGACTATAGGCCATATTATTGGTGTCTGTGACTATATAAGACAATGAGAGATCATTGCAAAATTCTAATTTAATGAGCTTAATGTTTAACAAGAAACTAATATGACTGAAGTTTTAATTGCATCTGATAATTCAAAAACTGAAACAAATGCTGTGCAATATAATTTTGATAGGGCAAATATGTTATAAAACAACAGGTAACAGCACAGCTCACTTAATACAAGATGAAGTCCAAGAAATCAATGAGACAGAAACTGAAATTTATCTTAGTTAAATTTAGCTTGAGTAATAAATTATGTCCCTGAAATCAGGTAAGTTTGGTAATGAGGTGTATCCAGAAAGGAGGGGAAGTAAATTAATAATTGGGAGATTAAGAAGTATTTAATATTCAAGGATAGAGAGGTTAATGGAATTCTTCAAGTTGGTTATATGAATGGCATGGTGTTTCTCATCAGAGGAAGATCATGGTGACGAGGACATGAGAGTGCACAGGTAAAGCGCTTGGTGCTGGGCCTTGCATATTGCATCTATACAATGAAACAAATGGAATCAGTGTTTGATGCCATCATTAAAGCCAGAAATGGTGAGGTTGGTATGTTGTCCGTGGTACTGCAAAAGTTCCCTAATTTAATAGGAAAAACATTTATTAATCTGGTAACTTTCATTTCTCTGTAGGCTGTGATATATAAAAAATAGATGGGGGACTTTGCCGAATTCTTCTGTTCACATATCAGAATCTGTAAACCTGAATTAGACTTCACTGGGCAGACATATCCGTGTTATTAATACACTGGTCAGAAAGTCAGATGGAAGTTGACCAAGCAACTAACTGATCCCAGGCTTTTTTTAACTTGGAAGTGACAATTTTTGTCTCTTGACTTGTAATCAAGGCAGAGAGATCAAAAGGTTCTCTTGTAGTGTTCTGGTTTTGGTAGATCAAGTATCTCTGAGTGTCTGGAAAGACTGATGTTTTTAGGCATTACATATGCACACTGTACAGTGAAGAAAAACATTAGGAATTGGCGAGGGACTGTCTAGAGTGTCCAAGGAGTGACCAAGAAATATTTTATGATTGGTATGGATTATATGTCTGAAACCAGACTCAACATTTGTCCATGAAAGAATTTAAATCTAGGAAGGGGAAAGGAAAGAAGGCAAAGGAAAAATTATGAGAAAAGAAAAAAATGGAAACAAAGTCCATGTAAATAGGGAAGGGTGGAGGGAGTGAAGGGTGCACAGGTAATGAAGAAAAACTAAGAACCAAGACACATCATGTACAGGTACAAGCACCCAATGATAAATGTAAATGTATCATATACCTAAAATGTACC